GAAGAGCGGGGGCGGGGGGAGGGACGGAGTGCGGTAGGGGAAGAGGCGGTAGTAGGGGACCGACTCGTCAAACGTGACGTCCTGGGAGGACAGAACACGGCGAGAGGTGGGGTGGTAGAACTGCCACCCAGGCGCGTAAGGGGGGAACCCCAGGAAGACGCAAGGAGCAGCACGAGGGGACAGCTTGTCCGCAGACAAGTCGCGGACAAACGCCCGAGATCCCCAGACCCGGAACGCCGACGCATCGCCAACCTTCCCCGTCCACAGCAAGGCTGGGGAGGTCTCCGGCCTGGAGACCCTGGGGTGAAGGTTGATCTGATGCGCCGCATACCTGACCGCAAACGGCCACAGAAAATGGGGGGCAGCCGCATGCATCATAGACGTACGAGCGACGTCCATGATCATGCCAATGCGGCGCTCAGCAATCCCATTTTGCTGCGGAGATTCCGGAAGCGTGAAGGTCTGACGGATGCCCCGTGCGCGACAGTAGGCTCTCAGAAGGCCAGAGGAAAACTCTCCGCCTCTGTCCGAGTGCAGACGCAGAACAGGAAAGTCCGAGCCAAAGCTCTGCCTGAGCTGGAGACGAGCTGCGCGGATCCAGTCGATCAGCACCTCAGTGACATCACCCTTGCTGCGCAAGGGGAAGACTGCGGTGTAACGCGAGTAGTCGTCAACAACTAGCAGGAAGTAGCGCTCGTGACCCTGTCCACGGACGCGGGCTGAGCCCCACACGTCCATGTAAAGCGTCTGCAACAGGGCCTAAGTCGGAGGAAACTGGGAGGAGTGAGGGGCAGCACGCTGGCGCCCCTCGACACAGGGGACACAGGTAGGGCCAGGGCCCTGAGGAAGGGGAGGGAGGGACCTGGGGAGACCAGAAACAAGAAGACGAGAGGCCATGCCTCTGAGCCGAAGCAGAGAGGGGTGACCAAGGCGGTGGTGCCAGAGGAGAGTCTCGTGAGACAGGAGACGACACGAACAGGGGGCAGACTCAGGACCAGACCTGGACGCTGCAGCAAACACCTGACCCGACGCAGCTACCCTACCAGGCTCAGCAACTGGAGGAGACGCAGTAGTCAGTGTGTACAGGCTCGACCCCGGCCGACGAGTAAACGTGGCCAGGTGTCGGCCTGTCCGAGCGTCTGTGCAGTGGGTCACCCGCTGACTCGCAGGAGTGAACTGGTGAACCCCCGCATCCTGCAGGTCAGCACCACTCACCAAGTTCGTCGAGAACGAGGGGAGGTAAAGACCAGATAGGGTGCCAGAGGGGGCCGCCGGACACGGGAGGACAGTGGAGAAGTGAGCAAGGACAGGTTCCCCAGAGGGGTCTGCCAGAGAGACTGCAACTGGCCGACCAAGCGGCGTGAGTGTGGTGCAGTCTCGAAAGAAGGAGCGGGAAGCCCCCGAGTCAAGGGTGAAGGTGTGAGAGGCCGGAGCCGACGCGGTACCTGAGAGAGCAGACTCACCCGCACCTGAGGAAGCAGACTCACTAGCACCTAGAGCAGCAGCCGCACCTGTACCTGGAGCAGGAGACACACTAGCACCCTGAGCAGCAGCCGCACCAGTACCTGGAGCAGGAGACACACTAGCACCCTGAGCAGCAGCCGCACCAGCAGCTAGAGCAGCAGGCTCTATACCCGGGTCAGGCGGTACGCACAGGTGACCGGCACGGTCAGCACTAGTAGGCAATGCATACATGGCAGTGAGAATAGCATCATAGTCAAGAGCAAATATATCTACCCTCTGCCTAAGCAGCTCCACCTAGTCGGGGAGCTCAGCCTCGTCGCCAAACTCGGTACGCCAGGCGTCGCTCAGACGGGCGAAGCAGCGGGACGGTGTGTGACTAGGCGTCCCACAAGGCTGACCAGTCCGAGCACCAGTGCGAATCACGTAAGAGCAGCGAACAAAACTGAGAGACCCTCTACTCTGAGTGTACCATTCACGAAGCTGCTGGGGCGTGAGAGACGCACGTGGGCCTCGCTGGAGCTGCATCTGGCCGCCGCCAGTAGAAGCAGGAGCAGGAGTAGCAGCAGTAAGGCAGGCAGCCAAGCAAGCAGTAGGCAGCGCGCTAGTAAGGCAGGGGCTCACCAGTGGTGGGAAGAGCAGGCTCGACGACTCGGCGACTCGGCGGCACGGCAGCACTGCAGCAACTGCGGCTCGGCGGCTCGGGCGACTCGGGCGGCTCGGCTGCTCGGGCGACTCGGGCGGCTCGGCGGCTACGGCTGCCCGGCAGCAACTGCAGCTCGGCGACCCGGCGGCTCGGGCGGCTGAGGTGGCGCTGCGGCTCGGGCGGGTCGGGCGGCTCGGGTGGCTCGGGCGGCTCGGGGGGCTCGGGCGGCTCGGGCGGCTCGGGTGACTCGGCACTAGCTCGGCGGCGCCGGCGGCTCGGTGGTGACGCCTGGGGACGGCGGCGGGGCCGGGTGGAGCGGCGACGGGGCCAGCAGAGGCGGCGCCGAGGCCGCAGGGGCAGGCGACGGGGCCAGCAGAGGCGGGGCCGGGTCGGTGCAGGGCTGCGGGGCCGCAAGGGAGGTGGCGGGGCCGCGGTGGAGAATGGCGGCAGGGGCCGCGACGAGGGGCGGCAGGGGCCGCGACGAAGGGCGGCAGGGGCCGCGACAAAGGGCGGCAGGGGCCGCAACAAAGGGCGGGGCCGCGACGAGAGTGGCGGGGCCGCGACGAGAGATGGTGGGGCCGCGACGAGAGGTGGCGGGGCCGCGACGAGGGGCGGGGCCGCGACGTAGGGCGGGGCCGCGACGTAGGGCGGGGCCGCGACAAGGGGCGAGGGCGCGACGAGAGAGGCGGGGTCGCGCGCCTCGGGGCGCGCGCCAGAAAGAAAATCGCCGTTGGCGCGCGGCGAGATGAAAATAGGTCGCACGCCGCGGGGCGTGCGACAGATCGAGTAGCAGCGGAAGCAGTAGTAGGGCCTTAGGAATAGTTCCCACGAGGGAACCTGCTCGATACCATGTGAGAATTGAAACGAGAATGATTCAACTATGAAAGAGTTGGGTACAAGTACTAACCCTAATTGGGTTGTACCCCATATGGGCTACCCCACTAGAGCCTACACAAATGTATAAGCTACATGTTCTGACATTTTTCCATGTGGCAGATCGAAGATGGTGTTCTGCTGTTGGCAGACTACTAATGGTGTTCTGTTGTTGTTAGCATGTCTCTGGTAAGCAAACCATTTCCTGCATTATTCTCTACTTTTGTTCTGTTGGCGTTTCTTTAAATGTTCTGCAGCCTGCATCTCTGGAATCGGCCCTCAATCCCGTGCTCGCGTTGATGCTTATTTACTAGTTTAGTGTTTAGTTCGAAGCAGTTTAGTACTAGTAGTAGTTTAGTACTAGTTCTGTTGGCTGGGTTTTGCGTTGCGTTTATTTGTCTTGATTTTTTTGAAATATTGTGCATATCAGTGTTTATTTTTGCTTCTCACGGGTCAATTGTATTGCTGAAGATTTTGAATCAAATTACTTGCCGTAAATATATTTCGGGAAATTCCTGCTAGATGTATATTTACAAAGTAACAATTGTAATGCTTCATTTGTCTACGCCAATAAGTGTAATGCTTCATTTGTTACTCTAGCAAATTTTACTGCAAGTGTGGATATCAATAATAAATCTTGTTGCGGTACTGTCACAGATCAAACATATCAAGATTGTAGGATAGCATTGCCATTTTTTAGGTGTAGGTTTCGATGTTCTCGACAATGTCGCGACATTCAACAAAATGAAAGTGCGCAACCAAAGAATTTTTTTTCCGCATCCAATGTGTTTCCGCCAGGTGTCCTCGCCATGTTCGCCGAACGTTTCCAGACCATCTGAACAGGTTTGGCAGGCGGTCATTCGCCCACTCGAAAACCAATCTGCGGCTAGATGCCACTAGCCTAGCAAACAACCGCCAAATCCAGGTAATTGTCTGGAGCCGAAAACCACTCACCAGCTAGTGGTTTCCTAGCTTATTGCGGAACCCCGACAATTCCCGATGTTCCCAGAAACGACCTAGCGGATGATACCACCTCAAGATGTGCAAGCGGAAATGAGTTCACTAGCAGGATGAGTAGTGGTACATATTCGGTACCAACCTTAGAATGGGTTGGTACTCACTACAGCAAGCAAGCTATCGTATTATAACTTTTGACAAGATCCCCCGTTTAGATGCCCCCCTCACATGATGAGTTCCGGCACTTATTACCGTATTCTCCCGGACATAAGACCCTAGGGTCTTATGGAAAATTCAGAAAAAAAGGGGGTGGGGGTCTTATCAAAGGCTTAGAAATGTATAGTACCCGGGTCTTATCATATGGACATATTTTCATTAAGTGTATTTGATTGCTTAGCTGTTGTGGGTGTTTCAGCATTTTTTTGTATCATGGATAGGACCGCGGATGTGCGTATTTCACTATTCAATCCGGGTGTGGCTTTTCATTGATCTAGCGTTACATGGCAAGATTCTTTGCCTTGTCATCGTGCATTCCAACCTTAGCGGTCTAGAACATGCACGACTCGCGAGAATGGGCTGCACGAGAGACCTTGGAGCGGCCCCCACGGTTTTGGGTGGCGCACGTCAACGTCACAACCGCACCATGCCTTCTGCTCTGACTGTTTCTTCATCTCTGCACGAAGCTCCTTTCTGCTCGGCAGACTCTTTGTGCATTCCCCCGTATCGCAGATGGTCGTTGAAGGCTTGCAACGGCCAGTACAGCGTTAGCATTTGCGTTACAAAATCTATAGTGATGGTGACTTCTCCTGACTCTGGGATATCACATTTAAGGCGCCCTCGTCCCACAGCCGCTAATCGAGCGGCACATGCTAGAGCTACACCTCGGCCCATTGTGCCAACGTCTTCACCATCCAGTAGTGATCCTACTGTTAGTGCCCATGGCTCTCCCCCGCAACACCCCTCGCTTTCTAGAGTCGTTATCCCAGTTTTCCCGCAGTCAAGTCGTCCTCAAGGCATGAAGAAGAGAGTCTTGGATGCCGCGCCTCCCTCAACTCGTCATAGGATGACCAAGCGGACCCGGCACGCGCTTACCGCTAAGGAGAAGCTTCATTGGCTGGCCATGCTGGATTCTCAGTCAGATCTCAGCATCCGCGGCTTGGCGAGGCTCGCCAAGGTGCAGCCAAAGCAGATCCGCGAGTGGAAGAGGCTTAAGGAGCGCCTCGAAGTCTCTGCTGGATGTCGCCGCCGGCTTCATGGTGGCGGACGGAAGGCGAAGTGGCCCGCGATGGAAAGGGCAGTAAACCGCCAGTTCCTTGCGCACCGTGCCAAGGGGTTGGCGGTTCCGCTGAGCTTGCTCCGTAAGTGGTCATTGAAGTACATGAAGCACCGCCAGCCTGCTGCTGATTTCCGCGCGTCTGCGTGGTGGACCTTTCGCTTTCGCATCCGGTGGTCGTTGGCGAAACGCGTGAAGACCAAGATGGGGCAGAAACTCACAGCAAGTAAGCAACCATCTCTTACCGTTATCCCCTTGCCTTAATGGTTGGAAGCAATCACGATTGCTAAGTGATGTCTGCTTGATTGCCTACTTATTCTTTTGTGTTGTGTGTCGCATATTGCAAGGGAAAGGTTGAAGCCTTTTGGGAATTCGTCCGCCAGATGCGCGTACTCCATCGGTCTCCGACGAGTATGATCGTGAATGCTGACCAGACACCTCTCTTCCTGGAGATGCCGGTGGAACGCATCCTCGAAATGAAAGGCGCCCGCACAGTGCATGTCAGGACGGCGGGGTGTGAAAAGGAGCGCGTCACTGTCATGCTGGCAGTGATGGCTGACGGCCTCAAGCTCCCGCCGTACGTCATCTTCAAGCGCAAGACGGTGCCACGGATCGTGGTGCCACCAGGTGAGCCAGTAGGATGTGTACCGCTACCAACATCATTATCTTAATCACAATGTTACTAACGCAGATCGTTGCTTGCGCAGGTGTCGTCATCCGCGCCCAAGAAAAGGGCTGGATGGATGAACGCCATATCCAGGACTGGACGACCCAGGTGCTCGTCCCGTTCTTGAAGTCGGTGCAGGACGAGGAGGGAAGGCGCAAGCAGGCGCTACTCGTCCTGGACTCGTAAAGGGGCCACCTCACCGAAGGCACAGGCCAGACGCTGAAGATGTTCAAGGTGAAGCGTGTCGTAATCCCTGGCGGTTGCACCCCCCTGGTGCAGCCGCTCGATGTCTCCATCAACCATAGCTTCAAGTGCGGGGTTCGCCACCGCTATAGCACTTGGTTCGAGGAGGTGGGGATCGGCCTCACCACACGTGCAGGTGAGGGTTTGTCCCTTGTGTCTTGCCATGGGCCGTCCTCGTTTGATCCTGCTGACATGCAAACCAACACCCCATGTGTTGCCCCACAGGGAACATGAAGAAGCCCCAGCCTGAAACCTTGCTTAAATGGATTGCAGAGGCGTGGGCCGATGTGCCAGAGGAGTTGGTGAGGAAGGCATTCCTCACCACCGGCATCTCCAACGCTGAAGACGGGAGCGAGGATCATCGGATCCTCGCTCACATGCGGGATAATGCCGAGGTGGAGGTGTTTGAGGATGTCCTCGAGGAGGCAGAGGATGGTCCCCTCCCCAACCCGTTCTACGAAGACCTCGCAAACGCCCCTGAGCCCGCAGCCACCGAGGGGGAGGAGGAGGAAGAGGCTGAGCCTGGGCTTGATGGGGAGGCGGATGGGGTGGCTGCTGCAGCAGAGGGGCTTGAGGCGACATCCTTGGAGGAGGAAGATGAGGCAGACGAGGTGATGGGAGAAGCTGACGAATGGAGCGACGATGGGGAGGAGTGGTGGGCCCCTGGCCGCTTTGATGGGGAGGAAGTGGAGGAGTGGGTGGCAGGCCAGGAGTAGGGTAGGGACTGACGTGGTATGCTGTAGCATGCATGCACTGTGATCCTTGAAGAATCAACCCTGTGTGGGTTTATGGACATCTAACTCCCTTAGCATTGTTAGTGTGGGCACGAAAACAAACAAGAGAACCCCAATTGGACTAGTATCTAGTCTCGGGCGGGTCTAGTAAATGTGAAACTGTTAATATCCGTGTAAAACATCTAGGAAAGGCCCAGGCTTACACATTTATGAAATTACAAGCCCCCACCCCCGGCCCTATCCCCTACAAAGGCCAAACAAACTTTGAGCTCCCCAGGGGGTGGATATGGGAAAATAGGGTTCTTCTACATTAACTAGTAGGTAAACATACTCATGAAATAACAGCTTCCTTCCTAGCCATGTACTACAAGAAAAACTCACACACACAACACCAAGTAATACAACAAAGTTCTAGAGACAAAAGCAAAAAACGTTCATCCAAAGCAAGCCAAGTCTCTGAAGGGTGATTGGAACAACTGCAGAGGTCAGCATACTAACACCATGGCAACGGACTGCGACTCCATTTGCACTTGGACACATGCACCTCTGGAGGGTGCTCACTTGTAGGAGGCAGTCACACAAAGCTGCAATCAAGGAGGCGCCAAATGGGAAACATTAGAGAAAATGATTGCTAGAACACATGTCGTGAGCTCATTGAAGTACACCCCTAACATCAGAGAAGCTATAAATGTGGGAAAAACATACAATATCAATGTTGCGCAGGGAATCGCGGAAGGAGATCCAGGGGTTGAGCCTGCAGAGGTCCACCATGGTGGCTCCATTGGATGCCGCCACCTGCTGGAAGTCCACCACTCGACCAATCTTTATCGTATTCTCACAGCTCGGCTTGGCTTTGGCTGGGTTGCGCTCCACACAGAGAGAGCGGAACGCAAGCAGGCGAGAGGAGCAGCTAACACCGGGGTTGAGCTGCTGCAGGCTTTCCTTGGTGATGCTGAGAAACTGAGCCACAGATGAGCATGTGTCATTCTGTGGGGGGGAAAGGAAAGTGGAAGGTGGTCAAAGGGGGTGAAGGAAGATGCAGCAACACATGGGTTGTGGAATACTGGGAACGTTATGGTGCAAAGAGGACCGAGTGTCACGTGGTCTTACTGCTGCTTGGAAAAAAGATGGTCAGGCGAAGAGTGAAGGGTGAAGAGAAAGAACAGCACATGTCAGCACATGGTGGCAGTGGTACCTTCCCCACTATCCATGCGTGATGCATGGGATGCTCCCCAAGCAGACTCAACTCAAAATGTGAGACTCACCGGCTGGACGTAGTAGAAGGCAGAGCAAGCTGGCAGCAGCTCTTTCACCACGAGGTCGCGACCCTGAGGAAGGAGAGCGGAGCAGTTGATACCCTGGAGAGGAAGGGGCAGTGAGAGAGGGAGAGGGTGAGCAGCAGGTGAGGTGGAAAGAGAGAAAGGGTAAGAGCGCAAGAGAGGGTGAAAGAGGGTGGAAGGGAGATATGGCGCAGAAATAGGAACGGTGCAACGTGCTAAAATAACGCACACATGCTTGTGGCAATGGTGTGGCGCAGCATGTGTCAGAGATTACATGATTCATGTGAGTGAACTGCTGCAGCGTGAGGCCATACACGGTGTACACGTCCTTGCACCTCCAGTTGCTGGCTGCGACTTTGATGGATGAAACGGCCGCCCAGTTCTGATCTGCACACGTTCAACGGGAATGATGGGAATGCCACGTACGTAGGCCAACCATTAATGACAACAACACAGCACATTAGGTCCACGAACACACAGCTTAAGTTTCTACGTGTGAAGTGCTCGCAGCATAGCATCCACTAGTGTGTGAGGCGTTGGCAGCAGAGAGCGAGCTTTCCACAGTTGTATCTATGAGGGGTTAACACACTTGTAATCACGAGGGCTTACCACAGGAGTAGCACTGAGAGTAACCACAGCTGTATTCTTTCAAGGGGTGGTTGGGCAGACAGACGCAGGTGCTGTCCTGGGTGCCACGGTGGATGCACGTGCCCCCCAAACACCCACTGACTCTGTCGTAGCCACACACGCCCGCTGGTGGGGGACACACACAAGAAGCAGAGGATGGAGAGCACTGGAGTCGCAAGGGGGATCCGTGGGGCAGGAAGGAAAGGGTAGAGAAGACGAGGAGCATCGCTGCTGCAAATACTGAAATGCTTTGATCAGGCAATGGTGCTTCCCAGGGGCACACGCGATGCCAGCTCTCCAAAACAACCCCTTCGCTTGGGAACCAGATCGGGAAAGGATGATGGGAAGGCGAACAACTTCAGCAATGAGGCTTACTGATAGAACTCTCTGCGTCTGGGTACTCAGAAGGAGCTGTGGTGTTGCTGGCAGGAGCTGTGGTGTTGCTGGCGGGAGCTGTGGTGTTGCTGACAGGAGCTGTGGTGTTGCTGGCAGGAGCTGTGGTGTTGCCGGCAGGAGCTGTGGTGTTGCTGGCAGGAGCTGTGGTGTTGCTGGCAGGAGCTGTGGTGTTGCTGGCAGGAGCCGTGGTGTTGCTGGCAGGAGCCGTGGTGTTGCTGGCAGGAGCTGTGGTGTTGCTGGCAGGAGCTGTGGTGTTGCTGGCAGGAGCTGTGGTGTTGCTGGCAGGAGCTGTGGTGTTGCTGGCAGAAGCTGTGGTGTTGGTGGCAGGAGCTGTGGTGTTGCTGGCAGGAGATGTGGTGTCGCCGGGAGGAGGTGTAGCGTATTGGGCACTCACACAAAGCTGCAATAGAAGATGCAACAGTTACAATAAAACACACAGGAATCAAAGACTGGAATCATAAGAAGCGATGAAGCATGCTGCACGCGTGTAGATGAGGGGATGCTTCAATCATAGTTACAGAATATATCGACTCACAGATAGAATATGTATCCACCAGTAATGCACAACCAGCAACTACTCAGTCATTTGCCTTCAACTTACAATATGAATGTCGCGCGGGGAATCGCGGAAGGAGATCCAGGGGTTGAGCCTGCAGAGGTCCACCATGGTGGCTCCGTTGGATGCCGCCACCTGCTTGAAGTCCACCACTCGGCCAATCCGTATCTTATTGGCACATGTCGGCCTGGCTTTGGCTGGGTTGCGCTCCACACAGAGAGAGTGGAACGCGGGGAGGCGAGAAGAGCAGCTAACGCTGGGGTTGAGCTGCTGCAGGCTTTCCTCGGTGATGCTGAGAAACTGAGCCACGGACGAGCATGTGTCGGCCTGTGGAAGCAAAGGGAAGTGGAAAATGGTAAGGGGGGGGGTTGAGAAGAAAAGAGGTGGTTGAAGGGGGTGAAGGAAGATGCAGCAACACGGTGGTAGCGGAACGCTAAGGTACAAAAAGGACCGCGTGGCATGTGGTGTTCCTACTGCTGCTTGGGCGAAGGATGGTCAGGGGGAGCGTGAAGGGAGAAGAGGAAGCACAGCACATGTCAGCACATGGTGGCACTGGTAACATCCCCGCTATCCAAACGTGATGCATGGGATGCTCCCATAGCGGAAGCAACGTGTGAAACTCACCGGCTGGACGTAGTAGAAGGCAGAGCAAGCTGGCAGCAGCTCTTTCACCACGAGCTTGCGACCCTGAGGAAGGAGAGCAGAGCAGTCAATACCCTGGGGTGGAAGGGGCAGTGAGAGAGGAAGCGGGTGAGGGAGAGGGAGACAGTGGAGCAGAGGGTGAGAGAGAGAGGGCGAGAGAGGGAGAGGTGAGAGGCGGAGGGCGTACAGAAACAATAATAAATAGGGATGGTCAATTTAGGCACACAGGCTTGCAGGGCTCACCACGTTCATGGCGGTGAACTGCTGCAGCGTGAGGCCATACACGGTGTACACGTCCTTGCACCTCCAGTCGCTGCCTGTGACTGTGATGGACGAAACGGCCTCCCAGTTCTGATCTGCACACGCTCAACAGGAACGGTGAACATGCCACGTACGTGATGCATAGGGGAAAACACATTTGATCTAAGAAACCACACACCTTGAGTTTCAATGTGTGAACAAGTGACTGCATTATAGACAATTGCAGGGTGTTGAGAACAGAGGGAGAGCTTACCACAGTAGCTACCCTGAGAGCGGTGGTTGGGTAGGCAGACGCAGCTCCTGCCCATGGTGCCGCGGTGGATGCATGTGCCCCCCAAACATGGGTTGAATCTGTCCCTGTTACACACGCCCGCTGGGTGGGGACAGACACAAGAAGCAGGCAGAGGAGGGCAAGCACTGGAGCAGCAAGGAGGATACCATTGGGGGATCCGTAGGGGAGGAATGCTTTGAAACGCTTTGATCAGGCAATGGTGCTTCCCAGGGGCACAAGCGATGCCAGCCCCAACGTCGCCCCCTCGCGTGGGAGCCAGATCGGTTTTGGCAAGAACGGATGGCGAACAACCGCATTGGGGCTTACTGTTTAAACTCTCTGCGTCGGGGTACTCAGAAGGAGCTGTGGTGTTGCTGGCAGGAGCTGTGGTCTTGCTGGCAGGAGCTGTGGTGTTGCTGGCAGGAGCTGTGGTGTTGCTGGCAGTAGTTGTGGTCACACTCGCCACCTCCAATGTTGCGGCTGCTGCCTGCGACGCCCACAGGGGACTCGCTGCAGGGATGATGGGAGCACGTGAAACGCGAAGGTGCACAGTCAGTGTCGTCCATGGATGGAATCGTGTTTGCCGTGCGAATGCGACTAGCGCCCATCTTGGTGTGAGGTGCATATTGAACGTCTGAGGTGCATTGAACGTTTGAGGTGCATTGAACGTGTGAGGTGCATTGAACGTGTGAGGTGCATGAACGTGTGAGGTGTGAGGTGCATTGAACGTGTGAGGTGCATGAACGTGTGAGGTGCATTGAAACGTGCGAGCAGATGGGCGGAATGAGCGCGCAAGATGATGCGGCGTACCAGCGATGACGACCATGATGGCGAGCAGCGCAAGAACGGCCTTGCTCTTCCCCATGCTGCAAACTTTAAGCGGACGCCACTGACTCTTCGCCCTTAGGGTTTGGAGCAGGCGCTGGTGGCTCGACTTGAGTTACAGGGTCGAGCTGCTTAGTTTGCTGGGCGTGCCGCGAGAGGCGCCGTGGGAAGATTGCTGCTACAGTGACGCCGCTAGGGAGAATGTCGGAATGCACTAGTCGGGGAGAGAAGTGGTAGGTATAGAGAGAAAATCGCAGGCTGTGATGCTGGTAGTAGGAACAGACGAGGCGGTGAAGTGGGTATGGGCTACGGCCCATCATAGCATGCTTAAATGGCATCGACAAGCCACGATACTAGCGGTGAAATGTAAGTGCGACCTCACTCATCGTCTGGCGACTCCGCGAATCCGCCTGGTGTGCGGCGGCGCATTGACGCGCACGGTGCCCGTGACGAGCGCGAGTGCTTTCGCCGTGGCCGACGGCTGCGGAAGTCATTCCTGGGAGAACGCGATCCTATCCAGCTGATGTGGCTTCGACTTAAATCTTAGGTGGATTTGGTGTGGCCAATGAGGTTTGACGGCTTGGAACGTGTTCCAGGACTACACCCCATGTGACTGACGTTGACCTCTTTCCCGGCTGACGGGGTCAATCTCGAACGATATATAATGGATTTCGAGTGGGTGTGACATGTATCTGACGGGCACGCATGTGATTGACGGCCCCTCCTCTGACTGACTGGTCAGATCTGACCGCTTCTCGCAATAGAACGCGTTTCAGGGAAATGCCCAATCCTCGTGTGACTGAGGCTCAACCTCCTCTCAGACGGACACGAAGTCACGATGCCTTTTCGAACATTGGCGATCATCGATGGAACAAGCTGAAACCAGCTCTTGCAGACGAATTCATTTTTGGATGTAACACCGTGTTACATTTGACGATCGCTATTCCTTCGTGCCGATTTCGCCCTCCAAACCCAACCTGCCCAGTTCTCTGGTTTGCGGTACTAGCAGAACCTCGACATTGTTAGAAGCCGTTCTGCACAAACAGCTAGATCGTAGGAGCGCACCTCCATCGCAAGAAAGAGGTGCCTCGACTCGCCTCCACGGAACCAGTACGAACGGCGGCACCGTTCCCTCGCCCATTCGTTCTTTCGCGCGCACGTCGTGTCGTCCCGTCCCTTTTCTCCGTCTCGTCACTTTGCAGGGAGTCACTCGCGACACGATCGGAGTCGCTAAACCTCGCCATTACGCACCACGCACTGCAGCTCGACTCACCCGCGCCGCTGCTGAGTCACTTCGAGAGCCTTACGAAAACGACAGTCTCAGAAACCGTAATTAGAGGTAAGCCCCCCACCCCGGTCGGCCATCCGCGTTGCAAGCATAAGGCTCACAGCCTACGAAGCATGGTGCTCGTAATCCTGTCAGAGGGTCCAATGTGCAGCTTTTGGTCACATACCAAATCCGTGGCGAATTATGCACATTGCCTAGAAACTAGCAAAGCCCCGACGCTTGCTTGCCCCTCGTAGCATTGGTGCCGCGGCCCCTTCCCATGCTGTGTTCACTCGCCCTGGTTAGTACACTCACGCTGTCACTTACCCAGGATCTGGCCGACCTAGCCTGTGACCCACCCCAGCTTGTGACCAACCTTGGTGGTGACTGACACAACTTGTGACTGATCTTGCCCGTGATTGACCTAGCTTGTCTGACCTAACCTGTCTGACCTAGCTTGTCTGACCTAGCCTGTCTGACCTAGCTTGTCTGACCTAGCTTGTCTGACCTAGCTTGTCTGACCTAGGCTGTCGCTGACATACCTGGTGATTGACCTATCTCATGGCTGACCTAGCTTGTGGCTGGCAGCCTAGACATGTGCACAGGGATGGGTCGAGTCGAGTCAACCTCGGGTCGATCAAGAGCCAACTGTCAGGTCGAGTCGGCCCTCACTCGACCTGGTAATGTTGCTGTTCGTTCACAATAGATGAGCACATGTGGGTCCTTTGCTGGTGGCATGACATGTATTCAAGGTAAGTGCTTGGGTTGCGACAACCTACTCGACTAGTGACGAGCTATCTGCATCTCGTCGAGTCACCAACTTGGTGAGACATTGCTGACTCAGTTCCATTCAGGCAATGCAATACTCGTTTCGGTTCAAGTAGAATATTGGACTGACTCCACTCGACACAATTGAATTGGGAAAACGTGACTCGCTGGTCGAATCTAACCCGGCTGGCCTGTGGTTGACCTTGCATGTATGTGACCGACCCAGGTTGTTGTGAGTGACCCAGCCTATGAGTACTAATCTACCTTGTGCCTGACTGGCCTAGTTCGTAATTGACCTAACCTGTGCTATGCTATGAGCCGTCTAGCTTATGACTGACTGGCTGGCCTCACTTGTGTCAGACCTAGCTTGTGCTTGACCTATCGTGGGACCGACATATGCCATGAAAGGCCTAGGCTGTGACTGTCCCTGTCTCTGTGGACTGACTAAATTTCTGACCGATTACTTGTGTCTGCCACCTTGTGAGTGAGTGACCTAGCTTGTGTCTGACCTAGTCTGTAAGTGACCAAACCTCTATGTAGCGTTGCTTGTGATGGTCTCAGCCGGTGATTGATCTACCTTAGGACTGTCGTAGCCTTCAACTGACCTATTGCGTGTTTGACCTAGCTCGCGGGAGAGCTCGCCTACAATCGACTGAAGTAGCCAGTGAGTGACATAGCCAAAGAGTGATCCAGTCCAGCCAGCCAATGAGTGACATAACCAATGAGTAACTTATCCAGTGAGTAGCCTTGCCTAGAACTGATTCAATTCTTCACTGGCTTAGACTATACTGCGCTAACACGTGATGTGCCTAGCTGGTGACCAATCTAGGTTCTGAGCTACTTAGGTTGTTCTCACCTAGCTCGCTGGTGACCTAGCCTGTATTGGATCGAGCTGGTGAGTGAACCGCGGGCCACCCGTCTCGACCTCTTCCCGGGTGTGACTCACCGGGTCAAGGGATCTGGCATGTACCGCGCTCCTTGCGAACCTCAGCCAACGGAGGGGAGCTATGAAACGAGAGGTGTTAAATGCATCGTCTCTGGCTGAGAAATCTCAAAGGGAGCTATGAAAAAGAGAGGTGTTGAATGCATCGAACCTGACTTGGAAACTGTGTAGTAGAAAACTACCAGCGCGACCTGCGGCGCACTGCTTTCCGATCAGCCCCGTCGTCTCAGGCTGACCATCTCGCTGAGAGCTGAGAAGAATTTAAAGCCACCCTGCAAGTCGATTTCAGGCATCTTCCATCGGCTCAAAGAGCACCTTAAGCAGCCAAGCCACCGCCCAGCGCTTTGCTCACTCATTCATAATATTGCGTTTACTTCCAGTTTTTTTCTCCCTTGCCCTGTACTCTCAGCGCAAATTCTCTCCTTGTGTGCTCGCTTCGGCTTCCCTCACTCACCCACTTGACTGAGGTAAGGAGCAGAGTGAGAACTCTCTCTTACATTGTACGTTGGTCACGTCACTCTTGCTGCTCTGCTCGTCCACCTCACTTTATGTGGCTGACACTACGCCCTATGTGCACCAGCCCTCTGTGCACCAGCCCTCTGTGCACCAGTCAGCCCTCTGTGTGCCTCTCCAATGTGAACCGTCCTATGCAGTCTCTGCAGCTCCCCACCCTTCACCCACTGCATTCATTTCCGCCTTGCTGCAATCTTTGCGGTGCTCCCTTTTCACAGTCCCTGCTGGCATTTCTTTCTCGTCCTAACATCTTATCTTCACTTTCACCTCTTGGCCTCCCCTGGTTTTTGCCGAACGCATGAGTATGGACATGCTTTCCCTCTCACTGCTCCATCCCGACATGCGCTTGCTGCTTCTTCTGTTCGCCTGTTCTCATCTCACGCAATTCTTCCCTCACATCTTCTCCTTAAGTCTCCCCCCTCTGCTCCTCTCGTACTCACATCACTGCCTCATCCATCACGCCCACGCGATTAGTCTAATTTGCGCGTGCACGCACCGTGCGCCTTCTCCCTCTTTTCTTCTTACGCTTCTGTTTTCTCTCATGATATGCCCAACCCTGCCCTACCTAGTCTGCGTGCGTCTTCTTTCGCCAGTCCGCAGTGAAAATAACAGTTGAACGCAGGGGGATCAGCAAATCAAAGAGGGTCGTTTGAGGGAGTGTGTGGATGCTATGGCTGCTGAGGGAGTGACGAGTGCAGTAAATGAGTCAATCAAAGAGGCGGTGCTGGCAGCAGTGAGAGAGGAGCTGGCTGCACACAAGGAGGAGGTGGATGAGCTGCGGCACATGTTGACAGCAGTGAAGGGGGAGTTGGCTGCGGTGAAGGGGGAGTTTACAGCGATTAAGGGGGAGTTAATAGTGGTTAAAGGGGAATTGGCAGTGGTGAAGGGGGAGTTGGCGAAACACGAGCACGCTACGGCAGAGAAAGTGGCTGAGAGTAGTAGGTCATTGGATGGAACAGGGCTGAAAGGGAAGAGCAGAAAGAGAAAGCAAGAAATCACAGCGGATGTTGCACGGGAGGAGGAAAGGAGGAGGGAGGTGCAGGAGTTGAATCAACTGCATGCCACGGAGGACCTGGCGGCCTCCAAGGAAGGGCCAAAGAAACGAAACCTGAAACTCAATGTTGCGCTGCAAATCAAGCAGAGTAAAGGCGATCAGAAGATGGCATGGAAGGTGTGTGTTGAGTGAGCCATCCATGCCCCCTCCACCCATGCCCTCTCGACCCATGCCCTCTCGACCCATGCCCTCTCGACCCATGCCCTCTCGACCCATGCCCTCTCGACCCATGCCCTCTCGACCCATGCCCTCTCGACCCATGCCCTCTCCATCCATGACCTCTCCATCCATGCCCTCTCCATCCATGACCTCTCCATCCATGCCCTCTCTACCCATTCTCACTTCATCCATGCCCTCTTCATCCATCATCTCCAGCAAATCAAGTCTGCATCACGACGAGCGGAACTGAGTCTGGAGAGTTGCGACGGCGTCTCGGATGCCATGCTCGGGCATGTGTCCACCATGACACGTCTCAAGGGCATTGACTTGGAATCTAGCTCAGGCTTCAGTGCAGAGGGCATCAAGCACCTCTACAGGCTGCCACAGCTGGAGACGCTAAACCTCATGAGTACTCATGTCCCTGACAATGCTTTCGAAGGCATTGGGTCCTTGACCAGTCTGAAGGAGCTCCATCTCTTTGAGACCAAGGTGACTGATGCTGGTCTGGCGCAGTTGACTTGCCTCTCCTCTCTGAAAGTGCTGTGCCTTGCTGGGTGCTGTAGGGAGGCTAATAGGGCTTGCGTATCTTTGGTTAAATGGCACGTCAGTCACGGATGATGGGCTGCAGCAGCTGACTGCCCTCACCAAGTTGAGAATTCTCAAGACTGGAGACGGGGACTTCCTTGAGAATGATGCTGTGCACAGGCGGATAGGCGGGTAGGGTGGCAGGGAGTGATGATGGAAAGGGAGGTGAGGTGAGGGAGGAGTTGACTGAGACTGTCTAGGGGAGACTGAGGAGAGGCGTGGAGGGCAGGGGTGCTAGATTGAGGGGAGGCATGCATGCGGAGGAGTGAGGCATGGAGTGGTGGTTGTGCACGGCTCAACTTGCATGCCACAGAGAGTTGGAGAATGGGAGTGTGAGCTCGTGCCTTGCAGGTGGAGAGCAGCAGGTGCAGGGCTGGTTGGGCTAGAGACCACTGTGTGCATGAGGGGAGCTACATAGGAAATGTCTGCCTGGCATCGCTTATGTTGAAGGGGGAGCGGTCATCAGCAGGGGGAGCGGTCATCAGCAGGGGGAAGTGGTCGTCAGCAGAGCGGGCGGCAAGGTGCAAAAAAACGACCGAAAGATTGAAATTCTGGCGTATAATACGCTATCGTATTTTTCGGTCGTTTAAAACGTTTTAAAACGCCAAAAAGTGGTAATTTTAATGTGGTGCAAAAAAACGGCCGTTTTTTACAGCAGAATCTTGAAACCAGCTGGTTTACACATATTTTGAAGTATTGGTTCCAACCATGACCCTCGATCGGATGAGCCAGCCATGAGGAAGACAAAGGGTAGTAGAACGGTGACTCCAGGGAGGAGAGGATGAAGAGTCTGGGGGGGAGGAGGAGGAGGGTTGAACGAGCGCAAGCTAGACACAACGGACCGTATTTTACTTTTGCCGAAATTTTGCACCTTGGCGGGCGGGGAAGGGGAGGGGGAGTTGAGGCGGAGCAAGAGGGGGAGGGGAGAGGAGGCGGGGAATTTGGGTTCAAGGGCGAGCAAGAGAGCAGTGAGGAAGAATGGAGTGGCATCAGCAGTGGCAGCAGCAGCGGCAGCAGTGGCAAGAGCAGTGGCAGCAGCGGCAGCAGTGGGCGGGGGTTGAGATCAGGAGTGTGTTGTGCTTCGCTTGGCTGTATGAGGGGAGCTGCAGAATAAATGTCAGGCCGTTTGGGTGATGTACAAGTATCTTCAAGAGGAGAGAGTGTACATTAGCTGATAGGCAAGGAGTGGAAGTGTGTGCAAGTAGGTGGCTGGACAAGGCCTTGCTTGTAAACAGCCTAGGGTAGGACAGTAATTTGTGAACTTGCTTGCGCCCTGTCCTGAACTGAGACTGAACTACTGCTTTTGCTGGCTGACTTTGGATGCAAGCTTGTGTATGCCGTACTTGGTTCTGGTGTGAAATATATAGTGCCGCAGGCACATGGCAGCACACCCGCAGGCACATGGCAGCACACATGCCATGCGTGCAGGTGGCTTCTCATATGATTGCAGGCAGGGCGAAGTGCCGACGCAGAGGTGAGTGATGCTTACTATGCAGAGAAATCTTAACATTTCAATCAACCTCTCTCTCTTCCTCCATCCATTGATGTTGCTGCCATGCCTCCCTATTTTTGCTCCCCCGCCCCCTCCCCACTCAATGTGGTGCTTGTGGCTCTAGTTTGCCTTGATGGAATAATTATTGTTGGCACCGCTTTCCCCCAAGTGCAATGCCAACATCAGCTATCTTCCACTCCCACTCCTCGCTCATCAGTCTGCATCTACCTCCTTCACACTCTCCCCCTCACTTCCTTCCCCTTTCCACACCAACAGCACCAACAACGTCTGTGGGATGGAGGAGAGGAGGCGGCGGGGGCGGCTGGGTCTAGCTGCTGGTATGTGCGGTGGGCAGAGGAGGGCAATGTGGTGGAGCGGATGGTTATCACCATGAGGATGCTCCACAGGCTGGATGTCATCAGCGACGTGGTGGTAGAGATGTCATGCGGCAGAACGAGCATCCAAGGATATAGAGTAGTGGGTGTGGCTTGTGCTTTACAGTCACTTCGAAAGTGTTCGAATCTGCTTTGGGTGGAGGTAGTGCGGGAGGCAAGGAGTATGGCCTCGTGTGATGGTGAGTTTACCTACGCCTCGTGGGGAGTGAACTCATGCGTTTTGACAGCTTCCATGGTGTTTCACATTGGTGCGGCGGAGACATGTGATGTGACTATACCTCAAGAGATGCATGGTCCGTGTTTTCTTGCCATGTGATGCCTCCGTCCTTTGCGGCTTCACCCTTCTAGGCCCTCTTCTCACCCAGTGGTATACCCCTCTTCTTTTCATCCCCCCCCCAGCAGTCCCCACGCACACCAGCAGCATCTGCCTTGTATCGGTCGTAAAGCCCACTCGTGGCTGCGACATGGAGGCGGCTGTTGTGCTGCAGCAGCATCAGTGGTGGTGGTGAAGGCGGTCAGCAACGAGTGTGGTGGAGGCAGGCGAGGAGTGAGCTCGACTCATCTCCATGACACACAGCGGGGCGGCATGGCGGAGCCATAGGATGCTGCAGCAGCAGCGGTGGCGGTGAAGTGAAGTCGGTCACCTGCCTGCCTGTACTCGCGTGAGCAGCCCATCTCATCTCTGCTGCACACCAGCCGGGCTGCATGGCAGGGCCATGGGATGCAGCAGCAGTGGTGGCGGTGAAGTGAAGCTGGTGAGCCACGAGTATGGTGGAGGCGGACCCATGGGAGGCTGACCCATGGGAGGCTGACCCATGGGAGGCTGACCCATGGGAGGCGGACCCATGGGAGGCTGACCCATGGGAGGCTGACCCATGGGAGGCGGACCCATGGGAGGCTGACCCATGGGAGGCTGACCCATGGGAGGCTGACCCATGGGAGGTGGACCCATGGGAGGCGGACCCATGGGAGGCTGACCCATGGGAGGCTGACCCATGGGAGGCGGACCCATGGGAGGCTGACCCATGGGAGGCTGACCCATGGGAGGCTGACCCATGGGAGGTGGACCCATGGGAGGCGGACCCATGGGAGGCGGACCCATGGGAGGCGGACCCATGGGAGGCGGACCCATGGGAGGCGGACCCATGGGAGGCTGACCCATGGGAGGCGGACCCATGGGAGGCGGACCCATGGGAGGCGGACCCATGGGAGGCGGACCCATGGGAGGCTGACCCATGGGAGGCTGACCCATGGGAGGCTGACCCATGGGAGGCGGACCCATGGGAGGCGGACCCATGGGAGGCGGACCCATGGGAGGCGGACCCATGGGAGGCGGACCCATGGGAGGCTGACCCATGGGAGGCTGACCCATGGGAGGCTGACCCATGGGAGGCGGACCCATGGGAGGCGGACCCATGGGAGGCGGACCCATGGGAGGCTGACCCATGGGAGGCGGACCCATGGGAGGCGGACCCATGGGAGGCGGACCCATGGGAGGCGGACCCATGGGAGGCGGACCCATGGGAGGCGGACCCATGGGAGGCTGACCCATGGGAGGCTGACCCATGGGAGGCGGACCCATGGGAGGCTGACCCATGGGAGGCTGATCCATGGGAGGCTGACCCATGGGAGGCTGACCCATGGGAGGCTGACCCATGGGAGGCTGACCCATGGGAGGCGGACCCATGGGAGGCGGACCCATGGGAGGCGGACCCATGGGAGGCGGACCCATGGGAGGCGGACCCATGGGAGGCTGACCCATGGGAGGCTGACCCATGGGAGGCGGACCCATGGGAGGCGGACCCATGGGAGGCGGACCCATGGGAGGCTGAGGCTGCTATTGATCATGCTTGAGGATGTCATCCCAGTCTCACCGTACATCTCGTATCCCTTCTACCACTCTCTCCCTGCTACATCCCCGTTTCTTCTTCATCTAAGCATTCCCCCTTTCAAGGTCTCCATTCACCCCATCTCAACCATCACACCCGTCACTTCGGCCCATCGCACTTGCTTTCATTTCAACTGTCTTTCCCTTCATGCCATTCACTCAGCAAATACACCAGCGGTTCATCCCCACCTCAGTTCCTCCTCCTCTGCCCACTACCCCCTCCTATCTTCTGCCCCACCAACCCACCCAAGCAGCAGCATCATAGCCATTTCTTCAAACCCTCCTCACTCCCACATAAGCTACACCACAAAAAAATTGCTCTCCCTCAATCCCATACCTCGTTGCACACCTCATTGCATATCACACATCCCACTGCACTGTTATTTCTGGATCACGTCCGCTTCCCGGCCTCTTCCCTCCTGTGTTCCCCTCACTAATTCCATGAGCAGTAGAATACTATTGAACGAGCACAAAGGATACAGATGGGTGCCACGCAGCAGTAGCAGATGAGTCACGGGACTGGGCAGCCAACCATGGGGGGCACATTGCGTGGGTGGACTGTGGCTGCAGTAAGGAGGCAGCTCATGTTTTTTATGGCTGGAATTCAGCTGTTTTGAGTATATCAGCCATTTATCCCGAAGCAGACTAATGCACTGCAACAGGTGGTGGTGGCACACAGGAGGGTGAGATGTCAGAAATGCAATTACAAGAACCAGGCTCACTTGATAAGAGATTGATAATCTCCCACATGCTTCCTGTGTGCCAGTGAAAGGGCGATGTACGCTGAAATGCACCAGCATGTGGGACTTGACTCTTCCTCATGCAGGCACAGGTCCAGTTTTGCTTCACCTTTGCCCTCCATTACTCTGTCCCGCGGATCATACCCTGCCAGGCTGCCACCGAGTTTCACCAACAATATGTTATCTATGAGCTCCCGAACATGCATGCATCATTATATGCTGATACGAATCAATTATTCGTCCCCTCATGGTTGCCAGAGACTGGAACTTTTTTTTGTATGGCACAACATTGATGAAAAAGCTTGAAGCAGTCTAAACTTGAAGACAGTCTCTCAAGTGGGGCAAATTCTACCTTGCCCACAAAGTTAGCCATGTGTGTGAGCGATGCGATGCGATCATGCGACCACCAGCCTATGTCGGCTTGGCACAAGTTCACATGTACCGCACTTCCTACATGTGTACAGACCAAGCCTCGTCCGGCCACCGAGTTGCACACACATCCACTCATTGTCTACAAGCAATCCCCTCAGTACAATCACATAATCTCCCATTCCCTCATCATCACTCTCTCACACCCAGCTCCCAATCTCATTACACACCCAATCCCCTTAAGGCAGCAGCAGGGACCCCCATCCTAACAGCCAGGCATCTCTTATGCAGCCCCCCTCATGCAGCCATGTGAGACATTACTCACCCCCCTGATCCCAACCCCCCCCAGCCGCTGCTGCTGTCACTGCAGCCTCCGCTGCCATTGCTGCTGCTACTGCCACTACTGCCGCCACCCCTGCTTCCACTGTTGCCACCACTGTTGCCGTCACTGCTACTGCCAGTGCTGTAGCCACTGCTGCCGCCACTGCTACTGCCATTGATGCAACCACTGATGGTGCCACTGCTGCCATCACTGCTGCTGCCGCTGCTGCCACCACTGCTGCTGCCACTGCTGCTGCAACCTCACTGCACTCTTGCTCGCCCTTGTCCCTAGCTTCCCTCCTCCCCTCTCCCCTCCTGCTCCGTCTCACCTCCTCGGCCTCCCCCCACCTTCCCCTCCTACTCTGCCTCGCCTTCTCCCTCCCCTCCCCATGAGCCCTGCTCCTGACCGTTTTCCCCTCCATCATAAGAATGCCATGCAGGAAACTCCTATGCAGCTCCCCTCACGCACACCCTGCAGTCTTGCCCAACCAGCCCTGCACCTGCTTCTGACCAACCGCAAGGCACGAGTTCACATGACCATTCTCCAACTCTCTGCACAACCACCATTCCATGCCTCACCCCTCCGCATGCATGCCTTCCATCATTCTTCACACCCCTTGCCTCCACGTCGCTCCTCAGTCGCCCCTAGACAGTCGCAGTTAACTCGCCTTCACCTTCCTTCCATCATCACTTACTACCCTACCCGCCTATCCGCCTCCAAATATTCTCGTTCGTCAGATAAGCCCCTTTCGGCGTCCAGAGAGTTGTCAGCTTGGTCAGGGCAGTGAGCCGCTGCAGCCCATCATCCGTAACTGCCGTACCACCCAGGCCAAGCTCCGCAAGTCCTGTCAGCCTCCCCACATGCACCATGCCGGCATTCGTCACACCTCTGCAAGAAGTCAACCACAGCTCTTTGAGAGAGGACAGAGCTGTCAAGTGCGCCAGGCCAGCATCGGTCACCTTGGTCTGATTGAGAAAAAGCTTCCTGAGACGGGTCAACGACCCAATCCCCTCCAAGGCACCATCTGAGACGTCGGTGCATTCGAGGTCCAGCTTCCCCAGCCGTGGCAGCCTGTAGAGATGCTTGATGCCCTCTGCACTGAAGCCTGAGCTAGAGTGCAGGTCAATGCTCGTCAGATGGGTCATTGTGGACACATGCCCAATAATGATATCCGAGAGGCTTTGAAAATTCGCCAGAGTCAGTTCGGCATCTCGTGATGCTGACTTGATATTCTGGAGGAGATGGATGAAGAGGGAATGAATGAATGACAAGCAGAGGAATGACCATCTGAGAGGCCGTGGAAACACTCGAGGTTCAGATTGGGTTTCTGTGACACTGACTGGATTGCATGGAAAAGGAGGATGAAGAGGGAAAGCATGGCAAGGAAATGGATTACCAAGTAGCAAGCAATGCATGCATGGACTGTGGAACAGTTCACTCAACACTCACTCACCTGCCATGCCATCTTCTGTTCACCTTCACTCTGCGTGATTTGCACCGCAACATTCTGTCTCAGGTTTCGTATTAATTGCCCGTCCTTAGAGGCCGCCGGTTTCTCCACCTCCTGTACCTCCCTCCTCCTTTCCTCTTCCTCCCGTGCAAAATCCGCTGTGGTTTCTTGCTTTCTCTTTCTACTCTTCTCTCTAAGGCCTCTCGCATCCGATGCCCTACTGCACTCTGCCAATCTCTCTGCCATAGCGTCCTCGTGTTCGGCCAACCCCCCCTTCACCACTTCCAATTCCCCCTTCACCACTACCAATTCCCCTTTAACCGCTGCCAACTCCCTATTCACTGTTGTCAGCATGTTCCGCAGCTCATCCACCTCCTCCTTGTGTGCAGCCAGCTCCTCTCTCACTGCTGCCAGCACCGCCTCTTTAATCAACTCGTTCAGTCCACTCGCCACTCTCTCAGCGGCCATAGCATCCACTCACTCCCCTCAAACAGCCCTTGTTCAAAGACTGACTGATCCTTGTGTTGGACTGTCTTCAAAGGGGACTTGCAAAAGCAGGCAAGCCTGGGTAGGGCTGGATTTAGTGTCGTCAGAGAAACCAGAATGAAAAGCAAAAGAGGGAGAAGGGGCATGGTCAGTGCACACACGACGAATCAAACCAATCACATGGGCGTGAGGGATGAGGCAGTGATGTGATGTAAGAGAGCAGCTAAGGAGCAGCAGAAGAGTGAGACTTGACAGTCACACAGAGGGCTGGTGCACATGTGGAGTAGTGTCAGCCACATGAAGTTGTTGGGTGCAAATTCACATTGCACGACATCCTGCCGTCTGTTTGTACAAGTATGAGTGTGCGAATGCATTTGCGTGTGAATGGTATGTTTGTGTGTTTGTTTGCTTTCGCAATTTTCGCTTGAAGCATTTGCAGGTACTCGCACAATGTGCGCTTCGGCATAACATTGTACGCGCTATGAACAGTACAAGCAGAAAGGACGAGCTCGCAAAGGAACCCAAGATGGAAGCTTTGCGGTTCAACTTACTTGATTGCGCAGATTCAGTTCTATCCAACTCGAAATTGTACTGTTTTGTTTGGTTGACTATAGTGTAGCAAGGCAGGCACTATAGGGGTACAATTTAGGTGAAGGTTGGATGTTGTTTTTATGTATCTGCATGCTACAGGGCCAGGGGAAACCAGCGGAACCAGCATTTGGCTGGTTGGGCAAAGACAAAACAGGTTCTGTTTTTAGGACCTGAACCTGGTTGTTGTTTTCCCAGGTTGGAAAAACAGAACCATAGGTTGTTCACCAACCTATCACCTGCTATTTTGTCCAGCCAGGTTGGTTCTGTTGCTTGGAATTATTTGGGATCATCCCTGGTTGTTCCCAGGTTGATTCCCAAGGTCCTTGCTAGCTAGAGCTATTTATTCCTTCTCTGTTTGTACCTGAATATAGTGAAATTGATTCAAGCGAATTCCTTCCTTCCTGGAATTTCTTTTCTACGCGGTGCGACGGCGGAATGCTACCCGAGTCAACGCTAGTACGCTAGCACTCCAACGCTAGGCTAACGCTGTCCGAGCCATAACTTCGTAATGGCAGAACTTTTCGCGAGGCAACTTGGCTTATTTTAAAGCTCTTAGAGCGAGCTTCGATATAGGAAATTCTCAGCTTAATCTGATCAACGGTCTGCACGATACGCTGCGCGACGTTCAAGGTACTCTTGCTGTTTTGACTAAGTCCCTCTTGATCCCTCTCTCTACAAACTCGGACCCGAGGATAGGGGCTGGTCTTGTACCAGGCACCCAAGGACCCTTGGAGGTGACCCCGAGGAGAGGTTTTAAGTGTGATAAAGTCTTAATAGCTTGAGTTTATTAGGCCCTTACACCAACAAGCTGGTATCAGAGCTGGGTTATAGTGATCCTCGATATAGGTAGCTATGGCGGGCAACACCTCGGCGGTAGCTGGTGAATCTTCAGCCCAAGATCGTAGCGGCAGCCATGATTCTGGTGTTTCTGCGCCAAGGGGAGCGCGAACAAGCCAGGGCTCGCTGATCAAGGAGGTGCTGAAAAACTTCACCGTCGAGAAGTTCAAT